TTCATGTAGTCAGTGTGGCCTTGAACTAACAGAGATCCAGCTACCTCTTAATCCCGAGTCCTAGGATTAAAGGTGTGTACCACCACCACCTAGCTTTTATAACTAGTGTGGCTGCTTTGCTATTTTGATCCCCAGTAGCTTTAATATATCATAAGCAATATGTCACCACAGAAAGGAGACTAGTACCTGCCAGGGGCTGTTGGAAGGAAAACTGAGTAGCTGTTCAGTACTATTTTCAGTCTAGGAAAATGGAAAATTCTCGAGATGGGTTGTGGTGATGGCTGCATACCACTATAGGTATACATAATGCCACAGAACTGTATATTGAAGTCATTAAAATGACACATTTTATGCTATGTATATTTTACTAACAACTGAAATTTTAATTAAATTTAAAAAGGTTTTAAACAAAATTAACTAGTTTAATCTCAATTTCAATGATAATTTTTTTTTTTTACATTTATATGTAAGAGGGAGCAAGTGAGCGAGCAAGAAACTAGAGGTAGAACCCAGGACTTCACAAATGGTGAACAGTATTAGTCCCTTTCTCCCACTTTTATTCACAGGTTCTTCAAAGCATATTTGTTTATTAAAAAATTAAAGTAGTAGGGACACCTAGGCAGAAGTGAGGACAATTCTAAAATGGAACTTTCTCCTTTTTTTTAAATTTTTTTAAACAATTTTATTTATTACGTATACAATGTTTTGCCTGCAATATGCCTGCAGGCAGGAAGAGGGCAACAGATCTCATTATAGATGGTTGGGAGCCACCATGTGGTTGCTGGGAATTGAACTCAGACCTCTGGAAGAGCAGTAGGTGCTCTTAACCTCTGAGCCATCTCTCCAGTCCCCTATCTTTTTTTTTTTTTTAATCTTATTTTATTTTTTGGGGACAGGGATTCTCTGAGTAGCCCTGGCTGACCTGGAACTAGCTCAGTAGATTAGGCTGGCCTCAAATTCACAGAGATCTGCCTGCCTCTGCCTCCCAAATGCCACCATTTCCCTGCTTTTTCCTTCTTCTTTTTGAGACAGGGTCTTATATAGTACAGCTGGCCTCAAACTTGCTATGAGACTGGCCTTGAATGCCTGACCCTCCCACCCCACCTCTTACATGCTGGGATTACATGTGTGTGCTACCACTCCCAATTTTAAAATGACAAGTATTTTTAATGTGCATAGTTGGTCTCCTTATAAAAAGATTCAGCACATATCTGCTTAGTTCCTACTACTCTATTAAAAGAGGGTCCTAGTGTAACTTGGATACTACATACAACTCCTCACAACTGTTTACGTTCATTAATAATCACAGGACCTGTGCATGGTAACTTGGGACATGGTTGAAATCATTTCTAGCAGATTCTGATGCATATCAGGTCTCAACAATCTTTTGGACTACATTCTGTAGGACTAAGATTATAGGCATAAGCAACCATGCCCAGTTCTGAATACTCAAGAACTTTATAC